TGCGGAGCAACTCTGCCCCATTGACTCCCGTGCGGAGCAACCTCGTCGGCTCTGCACCATTGACTTGTGTGCGGAGCAGCTCTTCCCCATTGACTCCCGTGCAGAGCAACCTTGCCGGCTCCGCGCCATAGACGTCCGTGCGGAGCAACCCTGCCGGCTCCGCGCCATAGACGTCCGTGCGAAGCAACTCTGTCGGCTCCGCCCCATTGACTCGTGTGCGGAGCAACTCTACGGACTCCCGTCCATTGACTCGTGTGCGGAGCAACTCCACGGGTTCCACTCCATTGACTCGTGTGCGGAGCAACTCTGTCGGCTCTGCCCCATAAACTCCCGTGCAGAACAACCTCGTCGGCTCCGCACCATTGACTTGTGTGCGGAGCAGCTCTGCCCCATTGACTCCCGTGCGGAGCAACCTTGCCGGCTCCACACCATAGATGTCCGTGCGGAGCAACCCTGCCGGCTCCGCGCCATAGACGTCCGTGAGGAGCGAATCTGTCGGCTCCGCCCCATTGACTCGTGTGCGGAGCAACTCCACGGGCTCCACTCCATTGACTCGTGCGCGGAGCAACTCTACGGACTCCCGTCCATTGACTTGTGTGCGGAGCAACTCCACGGGTTCCACTCCATTGACTCGTGTGCGGAGCAACTCTGTCGGCTCCGCCCCATTAACTCCCGTGCGGAGCAACCTTGTCGGCTCCGCACCATTGACTTGTGTGCGGAGCAGCTCTGCCCCATTGACTCCCGTGCGGAGCAACCTTGCCGGCTCCGTGCCATAGACGTCCGTGCGGAGCAACTCTGTCTGCTCCGCCACATTGACTCGCGTGCGGAGCAACTCTATGGGCTCCCGTCCATTGACTCGTGTGCAGAGCAACTCCACGGGCTCCACTCCATTGACTTGTGCGCGGAGCGACTCTGTCGGCTCCGCCCCATAAACTCCCGTGCAGAGCAACTCTGTCGGCTCTGCCCCAAAGACTCCCGTGCGGAGCAAGTCCACCGGCTCCGTCCCATAGAGTCGTGCAGTGCGGGCCTGCTCCGAGTGGAGGTCAGGACTCGCCGTACTGCGATAGTGGGGATGAAAGTACTGCTGGGGGAGATCCACGCCCGGATGTGCCGCCTGATGCGTGCTCGGACGGTTTCCCGCCCCCGCTATATGGGCAAATCCAGCCTGGGGGCGCCCCGAATGGGAGGCCACACCAGTCGTATCCATGTAAGCACCGAGTGGCGCTTCCATGTAGGGCCTAGCACTAGCACTATACTCGTTTCTGCTGGCTCTAGGCTGTTTATTCCTCAAAAAAGGTACACCGCAAAACACAACTATTCTCTTCAGCAACGAGGCAACAACAATACTACTGCGCATGCGCCGCCCGGAAGAACGGGCCTCCCTGGCTGGCCACCAGGGGCTCCACTGCGCGGCTCCACCTTGGAACCGTGCTGGTGCCCTCTGGCGGCCGACCGGCACGGACGCCACAGTACTGTAATGACTTTGTACATGGTTCTATGAGGGATTTTTTCTATAAAATGGGAAAGATCTTTGGAATTTTGACATGACTTTGTTCGATGTACGTTGTGTGTTGATGTTCATCACTGTAAGTATGTACTGTAGTAAACGCCGCAATTAAAGTCCACACTCAATGGAGGTGTCATAATTTTGAATCTGATCGTCTTATGATGACGTCATTTATATACACCTTTGGGAATGTTGTTAGCTACATTTCGATACCCCGTTTGCTTCCAAAGACTGTAAATCGGCCAAGATTGACAGTTTATGAATAAAAATGCAGTTTGAAAAGTTGCAAATTTAAAGATGGCGTGTGGAGAAATTGCTAAGTGTAACCACACATGCCCGTAATTGGCCCCTATCGACTGCGCAGTGCCCGAACAAAGCGTGGGTAATTCAATTCGTGTGCTTGCAAGCACTGTGCAATCGGTATTCCCTGCCGTTCGTTTCGGGCAGTGTGACATTGTCACGCAGCAATTTCCACTCATGTACTCAAGTACATGGCAAATGTGTTGAAGAAGGGGGGGGGGGGGCACAGGCCGGTGGGGGGGGGGGGGGGGGGGGGGCACGTGCCCTCAATTAGCCATGCACTGATCATGGCAGTTTTTTTTCTCTTAAGAACGTCAGTCACTTGAAACGCCTTCAATCCACAGATTAATCTTTAATATCCTCTGAAACAGACTTAAATGTTCATTTTAATTTTTTTTAAAATAAATTTAAGCAACTAGCGGTTGTCAGCGGCGTATCCAGTGGGGTTGGGGGGGGGGACTTCCCCTCCCCCTGGCTGATTTATTTTATTTATTTATTTTTTTTATATCTATTTCCACAAATGGTATAGAGAGGTCTGACATGAACGACAAATATAGAAAACCAAGCCAAAAAATATTACAATGCGTCAAAAATGTCAGCAACAAAAAGTGGCAGTACGTACGTTTTGGAAAGCCTAAGACTTTTGTATTTGCCAGCATTCCGCCCCCCCCCCCCCCCCCCCTCCTGACATCAAACCAGAGTTGTAACGAGTCACTGATTTTTGTGACTCAAGTCGAGTCATTTTAAAGAAGTGACTCGAGTCGAGTCGAGTCGAGTCATTTTAAAGAAGTGACTCGAGTCGAGTCGAGTCATTAGGTCCAAAGGTCGAGTCAAGTCGAGTCGAGTCAAATATTTAGCTCGAGTCAATTCGAGTCACGAATATTTGAACACTATATACCAACATTTATAAAAGGAAGCCATAAGTTTAGCCACCTGCGTTCGAATCCAGGAGCTTTATAAGAAATCGCCTAAAGCCAATGATGAAACTGCGCATTAGAAAATGTGTTTAAAAATCTGGTTCCTGGATAGTATTTTGTGCGTTCTAGAACCATGAGGTGGGACTGTGACACGTTGTATATTTTAATATACATGACTAATTTGCAAAGCGAAGTGAGCATAAATTTTGCACCGTAAGTCATTGCAAATACTTTTCGCAAAGTTGTGCTTTTATTTTTGGGACTCGAGTCTTATTAGCCTTCGCTTGAGTCGAATCGAGTCTTCTGATGAGGGACTCGAGTCGAGTCAAGTCATTTGCTCGCAGTGACTCGAGTCGAGTCGAGTTATTTACCCTTAGGGACTCGAGTCGTGTCGAGTCACCAAAAATTGTGAGTCGAGTCGGACTCGAGTCGAGTCATTGACTCGAGTCATTACAACTCTGCATCAAACGCTGGAAATGCTGCTGACTATTGTTATTATTAAAACACCAAAAAATAAGTTAATAATAAACATAACAAAACAAACTAAACAAAAAAAAGAACCAATTCCTTTAAAACCTTAAATTTGTCCAGAAATGTATCAGCAGCAGAAGTGCGAAATTAACCTCGCCCTTAAGCAACTGATCTTCACATAAAGTGGTGCGATCTTCTATTTTTTTCCCCTACAAATATTATTTTTTGTTTGATCGCCCATTTACAGCCTTATAGCCACAGCCAACCACGAGAGCGACCTCTCGTGTTGGAGAAAAAGTTTTATTTGTTTTACCCTGGAAAAGACGCTAGAGGGTGCAAGACAGCTAAGCAAATAAACAAGTTTCAGAAACTTGTCAGGGCATGCAGGTAGGTGCGGACTTTGAGTTGTGTTTTCAATATTGTCAGACTGAAAATGGTTGGGATTTTATCTTATTGTAAACTGTAATTGTAAAGTCGAAAGTTCAAGTGACCAGTGGTGCATTGTACAGTAGAGTGGTACAGCGGCCAAATAGCCACTGCCTTTTTTTAGTTGTTGTGAGTTAAATAAACAACTTTGTATTCTCTTACAGAAATGTGGTTTGAAAGCACACTGCTACTATTTTGATTGAATAAGCAGTTTTGACAGTTCGAGTCATGTCATCAGACACGCCATTATTTTTGTTTGGCCTAAGTCATAAAAGTCCTATTGCCTGTTTCCTTAAAGGGTAATATTACATCATTGGATTGCACTGGGATTGCACAACTGTACTGCAATGGCTTTGTACATGGTTCTATGAGGGATTTTTCCTATAAAATGGGAAAGATCTTTGGAATTTTGACATGACTTTGTTCGATGTTGTGTGTTGATGTTTATCACTGTAAGTATGTACTGTAGTAAACGCCGCAATTAAAGTCCACACTCATTGGAGGTGTCATAATTTTGAATCTGATCGTCTTATGATGACGTCATGTACATACACCTTTGGGAATGTTGTTAGCTACATTTCGATACCCCGTTTGCTTCCAAAGACTGTAAATCGGCCAAGATTGACAGTTTATGAATAAAAATGCAGATTGAAAAGTTGCAAATTTAAAGATGGCGTGCGGAGAAATTGCTACGTGTAACCACACATGCCCGTAATTGGCCCCTATCGACTGCGCAGTGCCCGAGCAAAGCGTGGGTAATTCAATTCGTGTGCTTGCAAGCACTGTGCAATCGGTATTCCCTGCCGTTCGTTTCGGGCAGTGTGACATTGTCACGCAGCAATTTCCACTCGTGTACTCTTTAAATTTGCAAAACTTTTCAAACTGCCTCATTTTTCATAAACCATTGTCAATCTTAACAGTCTTTAGATTCAAAATTATGACCCTCCAACGAGTGTGGACTTTTTTTTGCGGCGTTTAGGTAGAATAAAGGAGTCAGGAACAGTCCACTGGCAACAGAGAATGAAAGTCTTGCATTGCACTTATGCGTCGCTCTATGACTTTATGGCTATTCCCCCGATTTGACCTTGGTGATATGTATGTGGCCTATTTTCGAGTCAATATAATCGGGGTGAAAGTGGCGTCACGACCGTCAAAATAGTAAAAAAACAAAAAAAAAACAAAAAAAATCTGTGCGGCCAAAAATGTTGGGCAAAATGTTTTGAAAAAATTTAACTTAAAAAAAAATTGAAAAAAAAAGGGTGAGCCCCCCCCCCAGCTAAATCTTGGGTGCGCCACTGCGCTGAATTAATCATGGGCTTGTTTGTTTTACCAGGTATTGAGTTAGTCCATTCAAGTGAAAACTTTTCGTTATCCTACAGGAGGACACTTTTAAATTGTCACTGAATAAGAAGTTTTGACAGTTTGATTGATGGCGTACACAGGACGTGACTTTGACTGTGATGTCGTCATTGTTGGGGCCGGCTTATCAGGCCTGACTGCAGCGTACACCCTTCTCAAGCACGACAGCAATTTGGACGTCAGGATTCTCGAAGCCAGTGGTGAGGACAATCTGTACTCTCAAGACTCTAAACTCCTTACTCATAAACTACAGGGTGACCCCCAAAAAGTTGGGGCCGTATCATAATTCCGACGCCTCATAGGTCTGACGCCTCATAATTCCGAAAATTCGGACTTATGAGGCGTCGGACTTATGAGGCATAAAATTTATTTATTCCGCCTCATAGGTCCGACGCCTCATAAGTCCGACGCCTCATAAGTCCAACAACAGAAAAACGAGGCTTTTAATTTGTTGGACTTAGGAGGCGTCGGAGCTATGAGGCGTCGGAGCTATGAGGCGTCGGACTTATGGGCCTTTATTTGGTTAGGGGATGCGATTTTGTCGGACTAATGAGGCGTCGGACCTATGAGGCGTCGGACTTATGAGCGGACCCCAAAAAGTTGTGCAAGCAGACATCTTTAAATTTCTTAAAAAGTATCCAACATCAGCATTTCATATGCCCTTCGATATGTTAACCAGTTGGATGTTGTGGTCACGTGATACCATACTTCCAGCAAATGGATCTCGTATGCACTGCATGTATGTGATGCGATCAAGCTCAATGAGTCGTTTGTCACAAACTTTCATTTGGAGATTCAGGCCGAAATAGGGCCACTTCATCACGTCACTTCACAATAGCTCTCGCGAGTCATCACGAAGCATGATGTACCCTGTGAAGTCATGCTGTCAGGCAACTGCCAAGCAGCCTAAATATTAGGCTGCTTGGCATGGGTGGCTTGTGCGTAAAGCGCTCGCCTCTCACCAAGGTGACCACGGTTCGAATCCTGGCCGCGGATCGCATGTGAGTAGAGTTGTGCGTTGGTTCTCTCCTGTGCCACGTGGGTCTTTCTCCGGGCCCTCCGGTTTTCCTCCCTCCGGAAAAATCAAACACTTTCGATCTCAGGCTGTGCTCCGTGGTCATATATGGGTCGATGTGGCCGGCAGCCATAGGCGCCTTTACGTGCCAGCGGCCCGACCACGTCCTTCGCAATTCAGCATACCAGCTGCGAGTAAGGATGATTAGCCTCCCAAATTATTAATTATTATTATTAAGGGAATAAATGTGTGCTCTGGAGGTTTTTATCACTCGTTTAATACCGCTTAGAGTCTGGGTGCTGATAATTACCCGAGCCGGAGGCGAGGGTAATTATCAGCACCCAGACTCTAAGCGGTATTAAACAGAGTGATAAATACCGACCGAGCACATATTTATTCCCATTCATAAATACCTTATCCGTAAAAAAATATCAAATAATTCGTTCAAAAAATCCCGATTTTGTTCAACAAGTTCACTTCATGCTTTTTGAAACATCCCTCTAGCAAAATAATGGAGTGTTCAGCTGGCGAGTAAGATGTAAACAACCCTTTTATGGAGATTGACACGCGCGTAACATGTTCTGCGCGATGTCACGCAGAACGCACCTGGGGCGTTGCGTTTTGAATTTAGAACTATAAAATTCTGACTCGCTTGTAGTGTTGCGCATGCCTACGTGAGGATTGTGAACGTTCAACCAATGAAACGGTAAGAGGCACTGGATTTTTAGGAGTCCACATTTTATTGTGACACTGGAAAAGTGTTTAAGACCAGCTAGCCATGTCTTTATCATCCGTTTAAGACCGGCCACGTGACGGGCTCTCGACCAATAGGAATAGCTAAACTGTCTGAGGTATTTATGAATATTATTTAAGCATCTTTGCATTTTACTTGGCCCACATTTACCAGCACAGGGTGACCCCAAAAGTGCATCCCTTTGCCTTAAAAAAAAGGGGGATCAGTGGATTTTTATGTTTTGGGGCATCAGAGTAAAGCTGAGAGCTTTTTCTTTCAAATACTGAAAAATATCATGAAAATAGCACTTTGGGTTGCTGAAAAAATGCCAATTATGTAGTCAAGTAGTCATAAAAGTAGTCATATGTCATCCTGTACACAAGTACTTCAAGCAGTGAAACCGCATTTTACTGTCAGCGTACTGTGCAATTATCCTTCATTTGTGCAACTTCTTTAGTATTTTGACATGTTTATGATGCTGAAAGGGTTTAAAATAGGACTAAAAGGATGAGATACCTGCAGATTAAGTTTCCATCAAATTCATTTGTACTCTTGTCATATTATGTGCCATGTTGTTTGTAAGGATTATCACATGCACAAGTAGGTAAAAGGAAAATCCCTTTTAATACTGTGCGCCCTGGTTGAACTCCTACATGTAGAAATAAAAAGGCATTCGATGTTACTTTTTCCCACTGACAGATCGTATTGGCGGGGAAATACTTACGAAGACTCTAAAATGTGCGAACGGTGAGACAGACCAATTTGATCTTGGAGCTTACCATATTCCAGAGTAAGTTAAAAGCTCCTTTCTTTAAAAATGATTCCCCATTGTATTTTCGAGTTTCACGCCATAAAAATATATTCCTTTTTTAAATTGTTATTTTTTTTTTTGCAATATAAAAGTTATTGGTTTATTAATGAAACAACGACCAAAAAAGAATCCGCCCACAAATTGCGAATCACTAGTGCGGCCCAACAGTAATTCCAGTTTCGTGATGTATAGTCTGGTTCCTGCCCCACAACTGCACAATCAGTATCAATAATGCATATAGACCGTGAGCCAGTCTGCTCGCAAGTGGGATCTGTTAAAGTTAAAACTATTTTTCCCAATCACTTTCAGCCATCCGAAAAGTAACTGGCGTAATTATTGTTGAAAAACAAACTTGGTTGAAAGATAGTAAGGGAACTAAACTCCCTGTGAAATTATTCTTTCTGGGAAGCTGTCATTTTGAAGTAATCAACGAAAGAAGGCATTTCCAACGGTGATTCTTAAGAAGCACCGTAGGAAAATTAAAATTAGTAGTTCGTTTTGTTATTCAGCGCAGCGCGCACAAGTATTGGAACGACGCAAATCCCCGCGCGGTTGTTATAATTCGTCGGATCAGTGCGCTGCGTCGCATATAGCTGCAATTCAAAACATGATTCAGTAACTTTGATTTGAAATTGAGATCTTAGAATGCTGTTTTTCTCGGAATGTACAGCTGAAGCTTAGCTGAAACTTCATTAGGTTAGTTGCTCAGTATCCTTTATTAGATTTTGAACTCTTTTGTTGCTTCAAACGAAAAAAATGCACAAATTACAAATGATGGACTGTAGCTTTAAAACTATTTTTCCAGTCACTTGCAGGACCTTACGCAAAACAAAAGGCTAGGGTTTTGGTTGGATTACAATATGCAAGTTGAAAATTTATTACGCAAAAAAATAACATCACATTTGGTGAAGAGTATATGGATGTAATTTTAAGTAATAATAATAGTGGATATTTATAAAGCGCACATATCCACCAGGACTGGTGCCTAAGGCGCTACATCATTATTACCCCTGCTCATTGGGCACATGAAACATTCCAAATACCATCTCAGCTCCCTGGGGAGTATGCAGTTAGCCATACACACCTGTGACAGTTTACCTATCCCTATTGGTTGAGAGCCTGTCGCGTGGGTGGTTAAACCCCTCTCAAAGATTATTTGTATCGAACGTTTTGATTTTCAAAAAAGGCAAGATATACAGCAGCCAACTTTTGATATACAGCCAAACGCCACATTGCAAGAGTCATTTCAACAGTACTGGTATTTGTATGAACAAATTTGCACACTTGAACAATCTTGGAAACACCTCAAGATAACATTTAAGAATCGCCTTAAAGTTGAACAATCCGACAGAGCGCACACCAAATCCCCATTTGCCACCTTCCGTTAGGAAACAGAAAGAAATCAACGACCTCCTAGCAGAGTTGGACATCCAGAAATACCCGCAGTACGAGGAAGGCAAGAAATCTTTAGAACTTCTGGACGGCCAAGTAAAATCCGTCTTGGGGCCCATCATGATGCCGGTTGGAATCACCGCTCTGCTGGACTTAGTTTCGTTTTTTATCAAGGTAGGCAATGCACATGTGTGATATTGCTCCGTCAAAGTGAGGAATGTGTGCGTGAAACTGATTCATCAAAAACTCAAATGAGGAATAATAATTGACTGTGAGGAAACTTCTGCAGTAACTTTTGCTAATGCACTGTTGCATTACAGACACACTCTCGGAAAAAATGGTCCGGATAACATTGTTAACTTATTTCTTATGATGGGACTGCGGTTTGGCCGAAGTCAATTGAGCATGATCGGCTGACTGATAAGGTTTACATACAAAACCCCGAGCCAACGAGGTTTTTGTATAGAAATCATCCGGACCACATTTTGTGAGAGTGTGTCCGTAATGCTTGAAGCCTGCCGGTAATGCTGAGCCTGCATACTGCCAAAGTTACCAGTGGCATCCCTACTGCAAATAGGACCCATTTTTGGACCCTAATTTTATCAAATCTGCTCTTAGATAATAGCCCAAAAGCTAGGGAGATGATCCTCGGCTATATTCGCACGATTCCATCGATTTTTAAACTAGACGGTCTCGTTTTTTACAAAAAATTGTGGGGGCACTTTTTATACAAATTAACGACTCGGACGCGTAGAAATGTTTGAAACCCTAATCAAAATTATTGCGCCCGCTGTCGGTCTTATTGCGCCATTCTGATATATCTTCTGTCTGGCACCCCCCCCCCAGCCAGCCACTCCCCCCCCCCCCCACCACCACACCAAAAAAATAATAGTAATTAAATACTGTTAAAAATGTGCTCGTTTATTTAGAAATTCATGAAGCATATTGAAACTGATTGGATTTTTCCAAAGTGTCTTTCCCATGTGCAAAAGTTCTTTTTAAAAGCCCATCAACCATTACAGACACACTCTCGGAAAAAATGGTCCGGATAACATTGTTAACTTATTTCTTATGATGGGACTGCGGTTTGGCCGAAGTCAATTGAGCGTGATCGGCTGACTGATAAGGTTTACGTACAAAACCCCGAGCCAACAAGGTTTTTGTATAGAAAGCATCCGGACCACATTTTGCGAGAGTGTGTCCGTAATGTGCTAATTATACTCCAATGTTAACGCACGTACATTTGTCTTTCTTCAATAATTTAATCATAATTTTTGTTGTTTTCTTCCAAAAAGAAAAACCACCTCCAATAATTGTTTTGTTCTGACTGATGCCAAGAGGTAGTTTTGTTTCCAATCTACCTTCTGCCCTCGGTCAAGACGTTCAACGATGGGTCTGAAGATCGATGTTGGGGGCCCAGGCTGCTAAAATAAATAGGAGCTGTGTTTCATGAAGTTGTTAGAGTACCTGTAAATTTTACACTTGTTTTGTCCGCTTTTACATGTAGGTTGGTTCCGCATCTAACGCTATTAATCTTGAGAACCCGCAGCTCTCCGTTAATGCAGCGGATCTGGACGGAACGAGCATGGAGGATTTCTGCAAGAAAACCGCTTGGACAACGGGTCAGTTTTAGGGATTTAACACAGAAATCGAAATGGGAATAGATCTATGAACTCTATATGCATGAAGGGGGGGCTCAAATGGTGCTTTTCTTAAGATAACCCCCGGTAAAGGCCTTTGTAAAATCGTTACTAGTGTCTCAATTTATGGAAACTGAAAAATCGCATGACTGAATGCGCTTGCCTCTCACCAATGTGGCCCGGGTTCGATTCTGGGCTTGGACCATACGTGAGAAGAGTTGTGCATTGGTTCGCTCCTGTTCCACAAGGGTTTTTCTCCAGGCTCTCTGGTTTTCCTCCCTCCGGAATAATCAACACTTTCGATCTCTGTCTGTGCTCCCTGGTCATAAATGGGTCGTATGGCAGCTACCAAAGGCGCCTTTACAATGCCTTTGGCAACACCACATTGTAGCTGCATCCTTCGCAATTCAGCTTCTCAGCTGCCAATAAGGATGATTAGCCTCCCAAATTATTATAATTATCAATTTCCTTGACAACTTTTTCAGGGTAGGTTGAAGAGTTATCTGTTCTCTCCACGTTTTCTTTATTAAGTTTATCTTCTTGAGTTATCCTTAGTGGCGCATTGCATCTTGTGAAAATGCGTTATTACTACTATTACTGTAATAGGGCGACAGGTTTTGTGAACTCCGTCCACAATAGGGGGATACACCTTATTGAGGCGACAAAATAACTGTCGCCCTTTTATGAAAACGACCCTTAGGACTAGGAATTTTGCTGTCGCTAACCATCTAGATCGATTCCTCATGGGCCAATTAGTATAAATACTAAATTTCGTGGAAAAAACATAAGGTAAACTTTGGTTAGGTGACAGTTTAGGTTTGTGCACAAGTCTATGGGAAAGTCACCCTATTGGGGCGAAAAGAGTAATTATTATTATTGTTATTATTATTGTTATAGGAGGTGCTGATCTGATGGACATGATGGTAATGGCATTTCATGAGAGGGCGCCAGCACATATCTCAGTGATGGAACACCTTTATTTGATAAAGTCACGTGGTGGCTTGATGGCACTAGAGAGTGGATATAACACCAAGATTAAGGTATATACCCACAAGCCATAAACTACTGTCCTCTGTGTACCAGACTGTCCTCCGTGTACCAGACTGTCTCATAAGTGATGTTTGCATTGGACATATTTTGCTTTATACAAACCGAAACTTCGCCTAGACTGCATATGACTTCATTGACTTAAAGGGAATATACATCATTTGCTTTTGCTGTAATTTTCAGAAATGGATGGAATTAGGGGGTTGGAAATATATAGCAAATATAGTTACACTGACTTTTTGAGGTTTTGGGTTCGAAAATGCTATACAAACCAAGAAAAACAATCATTTTCCTGTAGTCTGGTTCCCTGACTCCATATAAGAAGAAACAGGGCAGTTTACATACATTGGGGAATTGTAAGGTCAGGGAACCAGTCTAGCTGGCTTGTACCCGTTCATAGGTGTGTAATCAATTGCAAACAAAAGCGATGGTCAATTGGGGCCAGTATTTGAAAAAAAGCCAGTTTTTTCCAACGCTGGTCGGCCGACCAGCCGCGTTGAAAATTGATACAAAAATACCACTTTTCTTGAAAATGACAGTATACCAGGTGCCATGATTTTACAGGATGCTTTACACTGTCATTCACTAACAGTCCAGCAAGGTATTTCAAAATGATTTGGTAGTTTTATTTGCAAATGTTGTATTTTCCCTTTAAAAGGTATAGTATATCCAGTGGCGTATGCCCTAGCAGATTTTTGGAAAGATATTTTTGTCGGTAAGTAGCCTGTTTACATAAATGGTTAGAGAGTTCGAACATCGACCCCAAAAAAGAAAACCAGCTCGAAAACCATTACAATGCGCCGTGAAAATCGGCATATATTTCCCAGTATGCATAATAATGGTCAGTTTTTCCATTTTAGGAGAAAAAAAACATGTCTACATTTCGGCTCGGATGTTTGGTTGCCCCACCCCCCCCCCCCCCCCCCCCCGACATCAAAAGCTGTATACACTACTGAGTATATTATTAGCAGATATCCTAAAAGTAACTGACCAATTTGTTGTTGAAACGCATACTTTGTTCAAAAATAGTTATGGCAATAAACTCCCTGTGAAAATGTTCATTATGGCATGCTGTCATTTTGAAGAAAACAATCAAAGGTCATTTTCGAAGATGCGTCCAAAGGCGTGTTTTTTTACATGACTTAGCAACTTTTGAATTGATCAAACAAGATCCTAGAATATTGTTTTCTACGAATGTGCAGCATTCATTGAGCTAAAACTTCATCAGGTTAGTTGTTCAACAAATCTGAAGAAAATTGCACTACGACATCGGTACTGTGAGCGCAAGTTTAGTCTGTCCTGCCAGTCGTCAGTGCACATATTGAATGGTAGACACAAAAAAACTGTGATTGATTTGTGACTATGACTAGTGATGCTTTGACATACATCTGCCAGTTTTAGTTGTATCATTTTCGCAAGAAGTTCTCAATTTCTCAACTGACTTTATAATTATGAGGGATACAATTTCCCCAAAAACTGCACCACAAGGTCAACTACTTTTTTTTCTCACAAAAAATGAAATACAATTGTGTTTTTCTTCTGTCCAGGGAGGAATGTATCAAGTTTGCCAGAAACTCGTTGCACACATCAAAGAGGAAAACATCCACACTAGGGAGAAAGTCGTCAGTATTGCCCAAGAGGACAGACTTGAGAGGGAGCTTGTTCGAACGCAGAGCGGCAAGGTGGTGTCTGCAAAGCATGTTGTCGTTGCAGTGCCGCTGAGCAATATTGGTACGTCAAAGTGACAGATTGACCCTGCTGGATGTGGTCATAAACTCAACCCACAATTAAGCCCCATCCACAAGCACTATTGTGCTATTAAAGTTGTTTTCTATATCCCCCATTTTACTTTTTTCCTGACCAATTTTTAATCTATAATTTTATTGAAATTGAAAAAGTACTTTCACGCTTGTGAAGCCCATTAAATCCTAAGTTGGGAGTAGTGTCTTCGGGTGGAGGAAAAAACAATTTTTGAACTAATTCCACGAGATATGCCTGTATTTTTAGCCTGTTTAGAGATAAGGCGCCCTACAAATTTCCAACATTTGGGCAGATTCCATCAATTTATACTATTGTGCGTCTGTTTTCTAATCACAGCTGACCTTGAGTTTATTCCACCGTTTGCTATCGAAATGCCTGCACCTCCTTACACCCTGGGATCGATAAGTTTTGTTGCGACTTACAGTCAGGTAAGAAAAAAACAAAGTTTGCTTGTGATTTAAATTGTGATTAACTTGTTGACTTATTGACTTGTGATTGACTTCATTGTGCCTTATTCACGAGCCGGCCATATTGAACTGAAAGTGAGGTAAAATCTTAATTTTTGGAACTTGCAAAAGGAAATGAAAGCAAGTTAATTAATAATAAATTCCAGTCTGCTTCAGTGAATGATTTAAAATTTGTAATGAAACATTCCCTAATGTTTAAAGCCAGATTTAATAAAAAATGACAGTAACTGAAATAAGGCTGCATTGTGCCTGCATAAAAAGTCTGGCTCCATTCCATGCAGTTACCATGGTTACCAATTAATGAAATACATTCAGGGATCTCAACAAAAATGGCCAACTCGTGAATAAGGCCCATTGATTGACATGCGATTGGCATGTGATTGACAACTGATTGAGATTGTGATTGGCATGGGATTGACATGTGATTGACCCATGATTTACATGTGATTGACACATGATTGACTTGTGACTGGCATATCTGATTGACATGTGATTGGCACGTGATTGACATGCTATCAATATGTGATTGAGGTATGACTGACAAGTGATCAGCACATGATTGACCTGTGGTCAGCACACGATTGACATGTGATCAGCATGTGATGGACATTGAGTAACATGTGATTGACAGTATGTTATGTTCATTGCAGCCGTTTTGGAGGGACGCAGGATTCTCCGGCCACTTTATAAGCTTGTTGTCAATCCTGGCGCAGATCAGGGAACTTCCCCAGGCAGGGCCTCTCGCCATAGTCATGGATGGAGAATCAACCAATGGCCATGCAGCGCTGTTTGGATCCCTAGTAACCGGCAACATGAGGAATCCAACGTGGGTGACTGACAAACTGAAGACTGTAAGGGCCTCTTGGCAGAGAAGTCAAGATTCATTTAAAGTTTCAGTCAACTTCAAGTCTACCCGGTATTGCTCGCCGCTTTCGAGTGTCCCAGTGAGAGGGGCACACTGTGTGCGCGTACTGGTTTGCACGCAATTAAAAATTGTGAAGTAAAATTTGCTATCCAAGTTGTTTCTTCAGAGGCTGAGACAAAAGTGACTGGCCAGCAACTTTTCCATCCCGCCTAAACTTTCTACTTCTAGAATGTAAAGAACCAACCCTACGTCTCATTGGCCCATAGCCAGGCCTTGCCAAGTGTCACAGAACAAGAATCCTTATTGGCTGGTTGCCCCTCCAAGCCTTCTCAGCAATTGGTTAAAATTCGTGGCTGTTGATTGGCTATTCTCCTGTTTACAGGATCTCACTTTTGTCACAAATTTGTCAATAGGGTTTCATGTACAAAGTTCTTCATACGAAAGTACAGTATGAAATGCATTCACAGCGATCGAGATGTGTGCATGGAGTTAGCCTACATTTTGCACAACACATAAATATAACCAACAGGAGAAGATCAATGGAAATTTTGCTGCTTATAAATAATTTGATCATTTAGTGATAAAATTGACTAAATCCGTTCTGAAATGTTCACAAACCAATGGCGTTGCAGCGTGAGTGTCAGTTGTCGTTGGCAATGCGTTCAAATGTTGCTCCCAGTGGTCTCCCCATCAACTCTCCCTTTCTTACCGTTGAGGGGGTACTTGAACACGAAGACCATTAATGATTAATGGAACCCTAGCAACTGGCAACTTAAAGAATCTGACGTTCAAATTGAAAACTGTAAGGATCTCCGTGGCAGAGAAATTAAGATTCATTTAAAGTTTTAGTCAAGTCGATATTGCATTTAGAATGTCTGAGCCCAGGATGGCTTCAAAGTATCTCCGCTCAGGAGAATGATTGAGGAACTAGCGCTCTATTAATGTAACATTGTCAGTCACAAGTCAAACGCATTTCTCAATCTCATTTGTTGCATTCACTAAGGCCAGAATGGGTGAGTCTTCATTTATCAGTGAGAAAAATTGAAAAGCTTTAAATGACAAATTCTTACATTTGCAGATGGATGAACGTAAGGCGGTTGTGCTGACCAAGCTGGCTGAGATCTTCGGACGGCAAGCCGAGCAAGCCATTGATTATGCTGACCATGTAAGCATTATTGACTGATCATGGAAGCATTATAGACTGATCATGTAAGCATTATAGACTGACCATGTAAGCATTATAGACTGATGTAAGCATTATAGGCATGACCATGTAAGCATTATAGACTGACCATGTAAGTATTATAGACTGACCATGTAAGCATTATAGACTGACCATGTAAGCATTATAGACTGGCCATGTAAGCATTATAGACTGATCATGTAAGCATTATAGACTGATCATGTAAGCATTAAAGACTGATCATGTAAGCATTATAGACTGATCATGTAAGTATTATAGACTTTAGAAATGGTATATACTTTGCAGATACCCGAAACTGTCGGATTTGGACCTACACTTCAGGGGCATTGACCATATAGACCTGGTTTGCAAACGGGCCCCTGTAATAACACGTCTGCAGGGTGACCGTAAGGTCATCATGGCCAAATTCTGCTAAATGCAATTCACAAATCTGTCAGATTCATCAAAAATCTGCCAAATTCCCCAGAAGTACTCAAAATACACTATAACTCAATATCACATGCACAAGTTTAGTATTGCCTTAATTAAGGTTCCATTTACATTCAAAACAATCAATAGTCACATAAAGATGTTATGAAATTGTGTAGATTTCAGGCAAAACACGGTTGCGTCACGACAAAGCCCGGTTCCCAGTGAACCTCGGCATCTAGACCAGCCATTCTGTCGCACTATGCATGGGTTTGCTTGAAAAGATTGACGCTTTTTTAAACAAATGTAACATTTTTTTTTTCAAATTTGCTGTTTTTCCGTCAAATATCCATTTTTTGCAGAAATCTGCCAAAAAAATCCATTCTGTCAAATTTTATGTCAAACTTGTTTTTTAACCAAAAATCCGTCAAAGTTAGCCGAAAATCGGCTAAATGGTCACCTTGCTCGTCTGGTCTAGAGCCCATCCAGTATTCAGGTTTTTGACCATGCATTGACAGAATAACAACAAATGGGATACGATCCAGCTACATGAGTCGTTTGTCGACCCTGGTCAATTTTTTTTTTATTACAGATTTCAAAAGAGCACAATCTCAGCATTACTGCTGTGAAAACCGCATGCTGATAACATCTTTAGTTCAATTAAATTATCGAAAGTCGGAACACCAAGAGATGTGATGAAGTGATGTGATGAAGTGGCCCTATTTTGGCATGATCTCCACATAAAAATTCCCAACAAACGACTCATTTAGCTTGATCGCATCACAAATGCTCAGTCATCCGTGGCCATAGACACACAATCAAGGTATCATTTGAAAGAGGACACATTGGCATTTCACATGATCTTTAACTTATCTGAAAACATTTATTAGATTTCCTTTTCTTTCTTTCTTTTTTGGATACTGCTTGGCTTGTTTCAGGTTTGGGAGCCTCAGGAGGGGGTTCAAGAAATGAGTAAATTCATGGATAAATTTGCATTCTTCAGTCAGTCATCTGGCAGGTATGAATTGGTATTCTTATAAAAAAAAAAGTAGAAAGGTTACTTGAATTTTATTTTTTTAAAGGGGTCTGTTGGAATTTATTAAATACAGGAGAAAGAACCACATTTTTGGTAGTTGAAGTGAAAAATAGGAAAATGAGAAAAAAATCAGGTAAGAACCAGTTGATATTTGTATCTGGAAATTGGTGTTATTTTTTAAAGTGGAAATCGTATCTTGTAGCTTCCTTGCGCCGAAATGGCAGCATCAAGCTTTATACTCCCCAGAAAGCTGAGATGGTATTTGGAATGTTTCATCGGCCCAATGATCAGGGGTGATAATGATGTAAAGCGCTTTGATCTTATGATTAAAAGCGCTCTATAAGAACCTGTTATACGTGTCAATGTACCAGTATTTTTGTTGCTCGTGATCTAATTAGTAAACATACCGAAATTCGTGGAAAAAAGACAAGGGAATATTGGGTTACAGCACATTGAAGTTTGGAAAATTGTGTGTACAAGTCTATGGGGATGTCTCCAAAATGTCCAATCCAGGGTAAATATTACCCTGGATTGGATATCCCCATAGACTTGTGCACAAAAATTTTCAAACTTAAATATGCCCTAACCCAATATTCCCTTGTCCTTTTTTTTTTACGAATTTCGGTATGTTTACTCATCAGACCATGAACAACAAATATAATCGAGTTGTGACAGTAAAATTTTGCCTCGAAAGGGGGTTTGTCACACTAGAGAGATATGAAAATGTCGGCCTATGTAATGACCGATGTCTCCCTTCGTGAAAAGAAATTAGGATAACGTGTCTCCTTAATGGTACCATTACACGTATATTTGTTATTATTATTATTATTAATATTTATTATTATTACTACTATCTTGGAGCAATTAAAGACAAATTTTCCGATTACGTACGTCCAACTTTGTGAAACTTGCGTGTGGGTTTAAGCAATTGTCAAGACATGGTTATTACCTTAGTTCTCATTCAAATTTTTTTTTTTTCCCCCTCTTCTTTGAAATCATCCAATGTAATGCGGATATGTTGAATTTACAGGGTGCATTGGGCGGGGACTCACGTCTCCCCATGGGCAGGAAACATGAACGGAGCAGTGCATTCTGGGATACTTGCGGCCAACGACATCATCGAGCAGATGAAGTAAACGTTCCTAAGATGCTGTCAAATACTAGCGTCACTTTTTGTACAGATCTGAAATCGAGGTACTGGATCACAAGTCCTTCACAAGTCCATCACATGTCCATCACATGTCCATCACATGTCCATCAAAAGTCCATCAAAAGTCCATCACAAGTCCATCACAAGTCCATCACAAGTTCATCACATGTCCATCACATGTCCATCACATGTCCATCAAAAGTCCATCAAAAGTCCATCACAAGTCCATCACAAGTCCATCACAAGTTCATCACAAGTCCATCACAAGTCCATCACAAGTCCATCACAAGTCCATCACAAGTCCATCACAAGTTCATCACATGTCCGTCACATGTCCGTCACAAGGCCATCACAAGGCCATCACAAGTCCATCACAAGTCCATCACAAGTCCATCACAAGTCCATCACAAGTCCATCACAAGTCCATCACAAGTCCATCACAAGTCCTTCACAAGTCCATCACATGTCCATCACATGTCCATCACATGTCCATCAAAAGTCCATCAAAAGTCCATCACAAGTCCATCACAAGTCCATCACAAGTTCATCACAAGTCCATCACAAGTCCATCACAAGTCCATCACAAGTCCATCACAAGTCCATCACAAGTCCATCACAAGTTCATCACATGTCCGTCACATGTCCGTCACAAGGCCATCACAAGGCCATCACAAGTCCATCACAAGTCCATCACAAGTCCATCACAAGTCCATCACAAGTCCATCACAAGTTCATCACATGTCCATCACAAGTCCATCACAAGTCCATCACAAGTCCTTCACAAGTCCATCACAAGTTCATCACAAGTCCATCACAAGTCCATCACAAGTTCATCACATGTCCATCACAAGTCCATCACAAGTTCATCACATGTCCATCACAAGTCCATCACAAGTCCATCACAAGTCCATCACAAGTCCATCACAAGTCCATCACATATCCCTCACGAGCCAAGTCAACTCGCAAGCTATTCAAATCAATTGTGACAAAAGCAAGCCCATTTTACGCCCCAAAAACATGAATTATGTAAAGAAGTGTAGAAAAAAGTAGTTGAAACTGAATGACTTGTGATTTACTTGTAAATTGATTTGTGCTGTAAAGGGATGACAGAGGTACGTCCATTTCAAATAAATCCTTTCAACGCCTCGTCGAAATCTCAACATGCCCTTGTTTGAAAGGATCGATTCTACAAAAAAAACCTAAGCACCGTGTTGTGCGTCAAGTAAGCCGACTTCCTATTTTCTGTTGTCAAAATGTGAAAGCATTTGAACTTAAAACACAGAAGTTATGGCAAAAATACCATTTTTGACCAAAATTGGTAAAATAATGAGAACAAAATAACGTTAATGTTCAATTTGGGCCAATGTTAACAACCAGATTCAGATTCAGCACTATCGAATTAGCAAAGTTGACCTTCTTGCAAGCTGACACCAAAAAGTCAAGACAAACCTCAACTTCTCGGCCTGATACAGATTTTGGCTTATTCAGTTGTGAAAATGACTTGTAATTCGACTCGTAATTCACTTTACTATCCTTCACAAGTAACTCAAATATATCAGTGATTTTCAAAAAGCATGAGTTGAGATACGAAGGTTGCATGTTCAAAACCCTCTTCAGTTGAATCATTAGTGTTGCACAAAGTGTTGATTTGCAGCTCTTACAAAAAAGACTTGAGAGTTTAGAGGATTCCTAAAATAAAAAAGTTGATGCAGACATTTCTATGAGAACTTTTCTTTGCAAGCCATGCAAAAGAATTATCTTGCCAAACTTAAAAGTTGCTTTACCCGTGCTCTTCAACAAATTCAGTTTTTTTTTCAGTTAATACATTTTCAACTTATATGTTTTATTCTAACCAAAAATCCGTCTTTTTATGGACCTCAAGCCTTTTTTTCTATGCCTTAAAAAGATCTTTATCAACTACTACTAGACTGCTTTTTTGACAATTGAAGCAAAATATTCAGTTCTAAAACCCTATGAAAAAAATCAAGGAAGAGTTTGTGATTCTGTACTGATATAATCTCCCTAAAAACAAAAAATTGTGCAATAACTGTCATGATGCAAAATGAAAAATATAATGAAAACGTTTTTGTAATTGTACTCTCAGGAATCGTTTTTGTTGGCCATTCATTTTTTTACACTTCCACTTCCACTGAAATAGCCTGAAACTTTATCGGTTTTTTTTAATGGACATAATAAAACAACATAAAGTATGTTTAGTACTTTAATTCGATAATCAAGTACATATATCTAAAGTACTTGCCCATTAAAAAAAATAATTCCCATAAAGATTACATTTAACAATTATATAGAGAGATTTGATTTTTAATCTATTTTTTAAGAAAGACAAAATCTCATGATAGATTATGTAGCCTTGTATTAAATTTAAAAATTATTAGTACAATATGAGTAAAAAAACATTCGAAAAATATGCTGCACTAAATTATTTTATAAATATTTTTCAAAATAATTTTTTTTTGCTAAAAACTCTTTGTAAGAAATCACTGGAGTAATTCAATAATTATGAGAATATTCTAAGAAATTGCTGTGTAATATATTCAATTGAAAACATATTTTTGGTAATTCTGTATTTTTTTATATTTCTCTAAAAATGTAAAAATAAAAAAAATAAAAAGTTGTTGATTTAACCTGATACAACCTTGAACCTATTTTGTTTCATTATTTTTGTTTTATGAAATCCACAAATTGTCTTTGTCCTTTGTTTTATTACAACCACCACATCAGGTGCAGGGCACTAAAGTGACTTTTTCTACTAAGCATCATTAGCATATAGTAAATATAGCTCAGGATCAACGCCATGGTTTTGAGGCTCATTTGCCTGAGAAAGTGGAAGGATGCCACTTGTAAAATAGTTCATTTAAAAGCTTCGGACTAATTTTTTCGGGAGATGATTCAGTTTGTTTTGATGTGAATATTTTTAAAATGTAATTTGGATAGTCTACCCAGAATTGAAAAGAAATAAAAAGATGAAGGACAAGACAGTTTTTGTTTTTTTTTTTGTTTAAGAAACCCCAGTGATGACAGCTTGCAATGATATTTGGCCCTGAACATGGTCGATTTTACATGGTAAGTAACCCTCAAGAAATTTGTTAGCTTTTATAATGACGCGGAGGTCGCTATTCATAAATTGACCAAGCTATCAGCTGCCAACCTCGTCCCCAGTGCTTACTTTATTTCCAACCTCAGGTAGTGATGGGCGCGTACTTTTCGACACCCTGGGTACGAGGTTGATCAGCTGCGGATTTAGCCGGATTTTTTTGCTGCGTATTCACCAAATGACAGAAAAATCTATAATACATGCGGCAAAAGGTGATCAAGTTTCAAGGGAAGAAACCTTCATTTATTCAACGAAATGTCCATAATAAACGACATAACAATATTTTTAGTCACGCCATTTCGAAAACGGACATAAGCAACCGTTTCATCAACTATTTTAAAAATTTGATGCAACAATTACCATTAAATTAGCCGATGTTTAATGGGAATCATGACATTTTAGCGTTATTTCGTCATTTCAGCATCATTTGAAACAAGTTTTCCATAAATAATATAAAAACTCACAATTTTATTTCATAATTTCTATCACTAACGGGGATATAGGAGTTATTATTAGGACACGAATGCTTTGAAACTCAATGGAAACCTTCGAAGAATAAATTGAATATGATTGAAGGAAATACAGTGTACTTACCGCGAAAAATGCAATACGAATTTCAGTCACTTTTAAGGAACAAAAATAAAGCACTCAACTCAAGAAAAACATATTGCACTGATTTGAAATTGGGTCCCATAATTGAATGTGATTATACTACACTATCGATTAGAAATTCGACAGAAAACGTTGAAGAAAAAATAACACAACAAAAAAAGCTATACAATAGCACTCCCGTTTACCAACATCAATTTCTTTCAAAAGAGAGCGCGCTACACAATCGCTGTAAAGACTTCTGTCAATAAACCTAAGACGTAATGACGTCACACTTTGTTTACATGTGCGCTTTCCTATAGTACTAGTAGACGGACCCCACTTTATTTGGCGTCCCGACTTCGCTCCCATAGGAAAGCGCATAGGCTATATATGTAAGCAAAGCCATTACGTCATAACGTCTCAGGTCTATTATAAACAACACTCTAAGTTTGTTGAGACGATAACTCAAGAGCAACATATCACATTGGATTGAAATTGCGAACGATTATTTACCATAACATTTGTCACAACCCGTCTGAAAATTGACGCGAACCGTGGAAGAATACATTTAATATGATTTGAAGAAAATAGGCCTGAGCGTTTAATTTAATTACGAAAACTTCACTCCGAATTTTAGTCAGTTTTGACACTCTTTGTTGAGACGATAACTCAAGAACAACATATCACATTGGATTGAAATTGCGAACGATTATGAACCATAACATGAAATTTCTTTCAATAATTGTTCGGGATATGATAGCTAGACACGAATCCTTTGAAGATCAATGCGAACCCTTGAAGAATAATCTAATATGATTTAAGGAATTCAACATGTACTAATTGCGAAAAATGCAGTACGAATATGAGTCACTTTAAATGGAACAAAAATAAAGCGCTCTTTGTGGAGACGATAACTCAAAGAAAATCACATTGCATTGAATTGAAAATACTTGTAATAATTGGTCGAGATATGGGACACGAAATGTATGGAAATTGATGGAAATTACAGAAGAATAAATTGATTAATCGTGAACAATTCAATTTGAATTCGAGTCCCTTTTCAAGCTCTCTTTGCGGAGACGATAACTCAAGAAAAACACATTGCACTGATTCAAAATTGCGTCCCATAACCACACCATAGCAATTTGAAATTCGACAGAAACCGTTGAAGAAAAAGAAATTAACACAACAAAAACAAAAACTACAGTGTGTAAGGGCACTCCCGTACATTTTACCATCATCGATTTCTTCCAAAAGAGGGCGCGCCACACAAACCACCGTAAAAAACCTCTGCCAACGTGGATCACAATTTTGAATTTTCAATGTTACGTTTGCGTTACACTTTGTTTCAAATGATGCGCTTTGAAACGTCTCCAAAAGCGTTGAAAAACTTACGCAAAATGTCCTAATTATTGTATCAGAAAATTCGAGAATTGTGGATAAAACGGTTTCTTTTGTCGTTTTTTTTATGTGACGTGAACAAATATTGTTATTTGTCATTCACTATGGACAATTCGTTGAATAAAATGGAGTTATCGCTCTTGAAAATAGATCACCTGTTGCCACATGTTTGATACATTCTTTAAAAACTTTGTTGAATGCGCGGCTGAATGGCTGAATACGCAGGCAGATATCTGGCCAAATCCGCGGCTACCTTGAGCCCGGTTAAACTGCGCGGAAAGCAATAAAGGTCTAGTTCCCCGTCAAAAGTCAACTGCGAGATGCATGGATTAACTACTGCAGCGTTATGGTACCTGTCTGTAGCGAAGTCAAAGTTCGCAAACGTCTGCTTTTTTATGTTGATAAAATTAAACAAGGTTTTTATTGATGATAGGCCTAATTTGAAATGGTTAAGTAAGGCATTCATTAGTGAGGTACGTATTACTTTCTGTTTTGACCTTTTAAGAGTTTTTTTTCCAATATAGGCCTACTTTGTTGGGTGCTTGGAAATATTCCAACCGCAGTGAAATAACTCCGGCTGGCTCAAAACGCGGGACATTTGATTTTGTTTACAAACAATAACATGACAAAATAATAACATGAAATGCGTTACGCCGTTATGGTTTGTGTAGTTGAGGACACTTCCATGTTTTGTTATGCCTTACAAAAGTTTTGTCACTGCCCTAAAGTCTGCAGCCTTGGGAAATGTTCTCTTTATCATGTTTATATAAGAAATATAGGACCACCTATTGTGACTGTGGAGTAGGCCTAGGTGTAGCCCCACTAGTGTGGCCGTCGGTATGCTGCGCTGAACCTCTGGCCACACACCGTGGTACCGCGCGCTACTGAGGACGAAGTTTTCATAAAATCTGCGGTCCGTTTCTTACATTCTCAGTTTCTTACTTTCTTATGGTTGTATTCTATGATGTCTCACCTATCACTTCTGGGATGCTTAGGTCTAATGATGTTCCATTTTCCGAGATATTCTTCAATCTTTCTGGAGCCCATATGCACTCGTGAAACGTCCGGTGATGGCAGCCATTTTGAATGGGACAAGAGATGACCTCAAGCTGTGACGTCGCGTTTATGCAAATTGCTTGTCGAGCGCACGAGGGCGCGAGTTGCAAATGCGACGGCTGTTTCCTGTGCCGTAGATCCTGAATAGAGATCGGTGCACGTGGCCCCCTGACGATAAATGCATGGTACAGGAAACCGCCGTCGCATTTGCAACTCGCGCCCTCGTGCGCTCGACAAGCAATTTGCATAAACGTGACGTCACAGCTTGAGGTCATCTCTTGTCACATTCAAAATGGCTGCCATCACCAGACGTTTCACGAGTTCATATGGGCTCCAGAAAGATTGAAGAATATCTCGGAAAATGGAACATCATTACATCTAAGCATCCCAGAAGTGATAGGTGAAACATCATAGAATACAACCATAAGAAAGTAAGAAACTGAGAATGTAAGAAACGGACCGCAGATTTTATGAAAACGTCCTCAGTAGCGCGCGGTACCACGGTGTGTGGCCTTTGGTTCAGCGCAGCATACCGACGGCCACACTAGTGGGGCTAGCCTAGGTGACCCTTTCTTTCTTGAAAGAAAAATCAATCCTTGGACCTTATTTGAAAGAAAATTGAAAGAAAAATCGGCTTTCTATTCTAACATGTCTAAGCTGATTTTCCAGTATAAACGGAGCATGCGAATGAACTGCACGGTGGTAGGGAGCTAGATTCTGAATAGCATGTTTATGTATTTCTAATGTGGAACCGTAGTTTTTTGTAGAGGGCGTAGGCGTACTTTTAAAATTGGTCGCCATGTTCATGTGTTTTGTCGTTGCCATTGTTTTACCATGCTTACCCCATAATTATCCCCAGATTTCCGTCTTTTCACAAAATTCATTATGAAGATAGGCTTTACAATATGGTGTCATCATCTAAATTTTAGAAGTAGATTTTGGTTCCCTTGTAGTTGTAGGAGCGGGGTCCACAACTACACAAAAACCAATGCGTTAGCCCCACCATGGAGAAAGGACTGCAAAAGAGCCAAATTTAATACAATTACAGCCTTGTTTGTTAAATTGTTGGGCTATATACAAGGAAAGAATGTTGCAACCTGATGCTACTTCAGCGGTTGTGAACAAAGTCTATGGAGAGTGATCGCCAGACCATGTCCAAATGTTAAAAAAGGCGATAAGTTGGGTCCAAGTTACTCGGACTAATGGAGAGTCAAGAATTTTTTTAAAGTATTTCCTAACAAAATTGGAAATGTTTTTCAGTCCCAGATTCATGTTGTCATCATTTTCGCAATGACTGACCTTCATTGAGAATTTGAGATGATATATGAAGAAGAAAGTGGCGTCAGGTTACAACATTTTTTCCACAAAAAAAAATGAGTGCGCCATTGTTGTTTTTTATTCATTAGCAACTCCCACACTAGTGTGAACAGCTACAAGTGAGTTATGGATAAACCACCACCAACCAAGCCGCTGTGCACCTCTACACTGAAACGACCCCACGAGGACAATGTCGAGGTTCAGCTGGAAGGGCCTAGGGTCAAAAGGTCAAAGGTGAAGGGTCAAAACATCACATTGGGATCCAGGTCGATGATTGAGAATTCTTCAAGCTCAACTTGGAACGCAAATTTTGGAAGAGGTAGGCCTACTTGTGAATAGGTTTGGCACTATCGACGAATCTGCACTTTTGCCTGATCATGCTGCGCTGTCCGTCGATTGAGCTGCCATTGGTCAGTGTTGCCCTTCTATTTCTAATTCATGGCTCTGGAGGATTGTTTTAAAAAGGGAAGTAGAATTTGGGAAAGAGTTCCATACCTGGACATCACTTGACACTCTGTGCACAAACCCTTTGAGACTGGTCTGACAATTTCCGTGTTCTCTCAGTAAATGCTTCAATATTTTCCCTGCTTAATTTGACTTTTTAGGACATGTTTTGTGGTGGCTGATAGGTGGCTGATAGGTCGCTGCAGGAAAAATTAGTGATGTCCATGTATTGAATTCTTCCCAAAATGGGCTATTTGCTACGGGATTGACCAATCGAGCAGACGCAATTTATGCGCGATTGAGCGATGGCTCGGATCCATTGATCGAGCCCAACAAATGTCGAAACTTTGGTAACTGTACAGAAGTCTTCGAAATTGGTGTACTGGATGCTTTGTTTAATAAAAAGCAGCTAACAAATCTTTCAGTACACATAAATGGTCCATTAAATCTGTAAGTCAAGTTTGGGACCTTGCTCCATATAACTTAACAACAAAATTACCTGTTTATGTTTTGAACTGCTAAAGTGGGTGAGATGAAGTACTGTTCAAAATGATAAAAATCTAGTGTTATTCTAATCATTTTGGATTTACAAATATCATTTACGAGATTAACCCTGACTCCCTAGACCTTTTTTCTAGGATGTACATGTAGTCTCAATCCTGTACAATCCTCCAATTGGCCTCATGGATGGAAAATAGCATAAAGCCTCAATCCTGCAAGTTCCTCCATTATTTCTTGAATTGGTCCGTGGAGGGGTGACCACTGCCTGAATCCTGCAAAATCCTGTGGCAGTGACTGTCAGTGTGTTGAGGCTTGGCCAGTGACATCCTGGAGCAGTACGGAGGATTTCAAGCATGTAATCCAGGCCTATATTTATGCATGGCTGAGCAAAAGCAACACAAGGTCCGGCCCAAGACCTTGACAAAGTGCATCCTACAAAATCAGTAATGCACTTTTGCCTTGTAACCTCAATCCTCCAAATTTCTCCGCTTTGGCAAAGAGGATTGTGAAGGAATCGGCGCGGTTAGGGTTAAAAAAGATAGAGCAAATGAAAAAAATGGAGGGTTCCCGAAATGTACGAATGCCCTTAATTTTGTTTACTGATTTTGAATTTGTACAGGTCAGGTGAAGCTTGCTGTATACTGGAGTCAAACACACCTCTTGGTTCACAGTAAGTTCTTTTTCCAACTTTCAAACAGATAAACCTAGTGAAGTCTTTACTGATGACATGTTGCAGTTAAACTTCCACAGACTTTCTATTCACATGCACAATAGAACCAGGAAGATTGGTAGTTACCTCAAAATGGACTTACCGATTTAATGAGAAAAATCTTGCTCAGAATGAACAAAAGGACGCATAGAAGATGTTCTGTGAAATTATCCCCCCAGAAATAAATTTCAATCAACAGAAAAAAATTTCAAGAAGGTGGTTTTAAAAAAGTGAATTCGTAGAAACACTTCCTTAGATTCATCAGCAATGAAATCAAGTTACGACACCCAGTAGTTCTGTGCATATATTTTCTCTCTTTCTCAAAATGTTTCACTAGCCACTGAGCTCAAACTTCAGATGTTTTGGGGAAAATGTGTTGCTTCAAATGAAAATCAAATATTATTTAGTATTTATTTCTGGTAATTTAACCGAATCAAAAGTGCCCTGGGCACTGTAGCTCGCAAGCCTGAAGAAACCTTTACAGAGAAGTCAATGAGAAGAAATTGCAGTTTTAGAGGTGGGAGGAAAACCCAGAAAAATATTTTGGGGCAAACTCACGGAATCAGGCAGAGACTTTATCCAGGGTAAATAACGTGCTGATTGTACTTTCTTAATGCTTGGTATGTGATGTGTGTTACTACTTGCTTTGCAGTTTTTGGTGCACGACAACTCTATTTGAAGAACGACAAAGATTGCAACTCATACATTCAGGTAAAATGTCTGGTTTTTTTAACAAACTACTAAGGCGCATTTTTACTTCACTTAAAGTGTCTGGCAGCTAATAATTTGAAATGCTCATTGTAAAATAATTCAATAACTAAACATGGGCTATTTGTTTCAGCCGACGTCTCATTCAAAAGTGAATACAAGTTTTGTTGGAAAATAGCAAATTAGAAAGGAATCTATTTTCATAATGGGAAACTCGAAAATGGCATGGGGAATGTAACTAAAATGTTTTAGATGGAATTTACGCCGGGGTGATGTAAATCAATATTAGGTTTTGCCCTTCACCGAGGTATAAACTCTGTACCCTTAGTGTGATACCTCTGAGTGAAATTTAAAAAAAAATCACTGGATTCAAGTCTCACACAAGTGATTTTTTTCTAACTTTCATTTTGGGAGGTAACACATTGAGTATACAGTGTTTATACGTCAAAACCTAATATTGATTTAAATGTTTTGTCAACATTTTAGGATTTTGTGAGCATCGATTGAGGAGTTTTTTTTGTTGGAAATAGTTCTTAAGAGTCTCTCAAATATAAGTCAAACAGTCCCGTGACAATGTTTTTGTCCATTCTTTACAGATTTCAGTTCTTTCATCTGATGGCATCGAATCCTTTGTTCAAAGGACAAAAATGATACCCAGTGACAGGCAGCCAGCGTTTAATGAGACATTGACATTGTAAGTGAAATTATTAGCAAATTTGACCTGCTCCGTGAAATAAATATTAAATCTTGCTTAAGATCATCTGCTGAAATATCATTTTTAAGGATGCTGATTTCTTAAGTTGAGCACTTTGAAATTTGTGAGAACCCTTATATTTTAAAGACAATGAAATGTTATGTTTTTAGACCTTATTGTTTTCAACTATTCCCCAGCATAATAATTATCTCTAAAATTAAATGCCTTTTTAAACTAAAAAGCAAAGTCTTGTCAAGGTTTTAATTGTATTAACTGATACATGTACTTTGTTTTTATTCAGTCACAGAGATGTGTTTCACTCCACCAACTCAAGGCTCCTGATCGTTGCATGCAATCAGACATCAACAAGGTACGGAGCAGTTCTAGAAATAGTATCCAAATAATGAATGTTTATGAGTGCAGTGGTAAGAATAATTTCTCGAGGTGACAGATGGAATGTTCCATTCCAGGAGGCGAATGGAACATTCCATCTGTCCCTGAATGAAATTATTCTTTCCATTGCACGACTGTGAAACATTCATTATTTGTTTTGTACATCACCTGAATAAATCCTTGCATCTGATTGGTGAAAGTGGGACTGTGGAATGCAACCTTTATTTATAGTGGAAAGGAACATTTATGTTTGCGTCATGGTTGGGACGAATAATTGAGTGTCACGTGATGATGATGGGTATCTATTCAGGTATTGTATAGTGAACTTTATACATTGATTTTTCTCTTTTATATGCATTAACTGATCTATGTCAGTGAGTCAGTAAGTCAGGTAAGAGAAAATGATACGCCGGCCTTCCCCCGACAAGCAAAAATAGAACGAAAAATTACCTTTAAAATAAATAACTTTTTTTTTTATATTAAAAAGCGGAAACCTTTTTTTTTGACAGGATTGAAAGCATTGGCAGTATGTCGTTTGGAATTGTCCGGCTCCTGAATGGAAACAAGGTAGGAAGATTTCAATCGCCGTTTAATCTTCAACCTTTTGCACCTTACCACAAGTTTGTCTTTTACCCATGGGCATTGCTAGAGGGGGGGGGGGTGTCACACCCACCAATTATTGTCTTTATCAAAATCATTGTCATAATATTGTCAAAATTCTATGCCTGTCGGTAAATATGCTGCAGCAAATAGTGCCACCGATTGTCTGATTGTATCCAAGATCGTCTGCTTTGAACAGCACCCCCAATGGTTGCAAGATGTCCAGTTCCCCCCCCCCCCCACTCCCCTTCCCCTTGCAGGTCACTGGCTGCCATCCAGCATTGAGAGTCTGTCGGCCAGGGACGAGATTTTCCAGATCTTTGTCTGAAAGCAGACTTTTTTAATCTGAGAGAAAGACATTATTAATATACCGGTACATAGAAAGATGTGCATTTTTCAGACATTGTAGTCAATTTTCAGACTATTTTTCCAATTTACAATCTCATCCTTGGTCGGCAAACTTGTCACACCCCCTGCCCCATTCAAATTGGCCTGGTGACGCCCCTGTTTTTACCCTTTCCCTTGTACTTTTATTCCAACCCAAAACTATTTCTCCTGCTCATTGACCTTTAATATCCCACTGACAGTTTTTCTTCCCACGTATTGTCCCTTGAGTGCCGTCCGTGTGACTTATGTGCACTTTACAGACATGCATGGTAATTCCCCTTCCCTGCCAAGACCAGGGCTCAATGCCATGGCTCTGCTCGCTAGGGAAAATCCCCACTTACTTTGTAGCAGAAAATTCCGTGCTTACGGTTTATCATATTCACTGGTTAGCGAGGAGTTTTGGATTATGTGCATGCTTACATCCCGTCACAGCTAGTGCTGTTATCACAGAATGGTGATCGTAAGCGCAGAATTCTATGGTCAGCAAAGCCATCAAATTGGGCCCATGTCGTACAGTGCTAAGGGCTGAAATTTGCTATTCCGCGAAAAATATTTGCTTAGCCGCGTCCAAATTACTTGGCTACGGCTGGAAATCACACACGGTTCTATTTGAAGTGGCTGCAGCCGCTTCCATGGGCGCTTGTGTAATTTCAAGCCGTAATCAAGTACCGGTAATTCGGACACTGCTTAAGACTGGTTCTCAGTTGACTTTGGCTTTAGCACATAAATTTGCTAAGCAATAGTTTCAGTTAAAACAGATTACCATCCAAATAGTCCCATGCAATGTATATTGATTGTGACAGGTTCCCGGCTGATTTTGGCTTAGCAGATAAATCTGCTAAGCAACTTTCTCTGCTTATCAGAAAATATCGCTTAGCAAATTTATGTGGTAAGCAAAAATTGTTTGGGAACCAGTAACAGCAATAGGCACAGCATGACTTTTTGACTGGTAACCCTTTTCTGCTTAGCAGATATTTTCTACGCTTAGCAAATGTCCGTATTTAGCAGCTCTCCTTGAACTTGGGCCTAAGCCCGTGGGGGCAAGTACCGGGACAATTTTCAGGTCCCTTCTAAGCGTGATTCATCCGCAGCGTTCACGTGACAGGAACAGTAGCTGACTCACCCAAGTGCACTGCGTGTATACCCTGGTACTGAACACAGTGCACCACTACTTCCACTTGCTTCAAATCGCCGTTTCCACTGTGTGGTTTTTCGTGCTACATGTAAATATGTCAATTGGGTGATGGTTATTTCCACGATGTTTATAAACGACAGAATGATGGCATTATTTACCTTACATGCAGCTTAAGCTTTGAATCCTGTGTACAGTAAGTTGCATGCGGATGTTTTTGAAGCTGTTTGCAGTGTCCGTTATTAGGAATTTAGTCAGTCTTATAAATTCTGAAGTTCTTACTTGTAATTGTGTATTCTTCAAGATATGATCATTGAAAAAAGTGTCAGGCATAACCCTATTCCTCCAAGGTCCTTCGATCTTGGAGGAGTAGAGTTTTTTTGCAGTATTTTAGAGCTCTGCAGTTTTGAATGATTTAGTATTTGATTTTTTAAACTTTGACTTGATTGAATGTTGGAGTATTCAAATTTCAAAATGCACTGATCAAGTTAAACATGCACCAGCCTAAACCAGCTACCAATCAAGATTTGCGTGCACCCGTCAGATCATATTTCAAGCAATCACTCTGACTAGTCAATTTCAGTCAGCAGACAACAGCAGGAAACTGATGGCACAGTTGTCTTATCATTTACCCACAGTCAGAGCACAGCTGTATCCAGTTACATAAACAGTCACAGCCAGTCAATCCTGCTAAAAATCGATTATTTTTAGCTGCGTGTTTTTTGTTTGTCAAATAAAACACTTTGTGTCCAAAGCCACTTTCGCGCATGATTGGAGAGCTTCCGTTAGAAAAATAGGCTCAAATTTCTTCCTTAAAATCTATCAAAGATCAGCCATTCCGCTACCTGTTCTTCCTGTTATTTTAACCTTCCTATGCAAACGTAGATTCTATGCCAAGTTGTCCTTTGAGTCAAAATCAATCAAGTAACTGTTTTCAAGAGTTAAGAGCTCCCAGCCTACACAAAGCAGGATTGACTGGCTCACATTTTGCGAATATTTTTTTGAATGGAATAAATTGCTATTTGGATATCCGGTTTATCATTGAATATTCAGTATATTCGGCACAGCAATAAGCCCAGCCACTTTTGCTGAAAGTTACAAAGATAGTACAATTAGCAGAGGATTTCCAATGTGGATTATTTTTTATTAATAACAGGAGGTGAATGGCTGGTACCACCTGCTTGACAAGAAACGAGGACGGGAGAAGCACCTTGCGGTCAAGATCAACCCAATCACAAACGAGCATTTGAATACGACAGGCACCGTGGACCAATCAGACGACAGCATGAACAGGGCCAACAGTATACTGCCCTGGATTTCCTTGCACTATGTGAGTCATTTATGTTTTCTGAATATTATTGATATACATATAAGTTATTGACTCTGTGTATGAACAGTCTATGGCACATTGTGACCACCTGTGAGAACTTTATGGGAAGGACAAAATTGTGAGCGTGCACTGGTTCACGCATGCTTATGGTGCAAAATACTATGTGTATAAAAATAAACCAAGTCCTACGTTCGATCCTAAATACTCATTTGTTTATCAATGGAATTACACCAAAATTTGAAATCATGTGAACAAGACATGACAAATTTTATTGAGCGGGTTTCTTCAGCTTTGTGCAAGAGGGTGAGATTTAAACGCCATACCAAAAAACCCACTCACTTTTAGAATGTGCCACTTTCGTCTTGGCATCCTCCTTTGTCGATAAAATGCTGGAGACGGTGGCGGAAGGCGCGTGTTGCAGCCGAATTGCGAATTGGCTTGTGATTTCCTTGTGACAGGGTTTGTGAATTGACTTGTGATTTACTTGTGACAGGACTTGTAAATTGACTTGTGATTTTCTTGTGACAGGGCTTGTGAATTGGCTTGTGATTTCCTTGTGACAGGGCTTGTGAATTGGCTTGTGATTTCCTTGTGACAGGGCTTGTGAATTGGCTTGTGATTTCCTTGTGACAGGGCTTGTGAATTGGCTTGTGATTTAGTTGTGACAGGACTTGTGAATTGGCTTGCGATTTACCAGTATTTGTGATGTACTTGTGATAAACTGGACGACAAGTTACAACACTGCTGTATTTTGGTGTCTGCCCTACTTTCTGTATCTTTATTTTCTTTTCATTCTTTCAATATTTCTCCGCCCTCCCACAGTTTGATATTGAAAAGGACAGCCAGGGGAAATATGGCTTCACAATTCTGGACACTGTACCAGTGAAAGTCGGAACTGTCCACAAAGGTAGGTCTTCTTATCTTGATGATTGCATTGTATATGCAACAATTATTCATAAATACGTGGCCGGTCTTAAACGGTTGATAAAGACCAGCTGGCTGGTTTCAACACTTTTCCAATGTCACATGAAACTTGAACTCCTATGAAATACAGTGCCTTTTACTGTTTTATTGGTTGAATGTTCAATCCTTATGTAGGCATGTGCAACACCACCAGTGAGTCAGTATTTCATAATTTCATAAATTTACAATATCGACAAAATCATTGGAAATTTAAAATTTTTGACTTGTTTTGACCTTTTGACCGAAAAGTTTTAGTTTGACCGAAAAAGGTATTTAAGAATGGGAATAAATATAAACTTGGCCGGTATTGAACACTTTGTTTAAGACTGGTTGGAGTTGGGATGCTGATAATTATCAGCATCCAGACTCCAACTAGTCTACATGAAACCCGCCAAGCGTGTCTTTTTATAACCTTATTTACTGCTGTGATGTATGACATGGTTGTTGTTTTTTCGCATCCCAAGAGAGTTAACGTTAGAATAATAATCAATTAAAGATATTTCCATTATAAAATCCTAATTTAACATGCTAAAAATTTCAGTAGTACTGAGATTTCAGTTGATTCCACGCAAACGTTACCTATGACCATGGGCGTCGCCAGGATTTTTTCTAGAGGGGGGCAAAACAAAATTTTGCCAAAAAATGCTTGTATTTCTCAACTCATTCTCGATTTATCAGTTTTAGAGGGGGGCAGGGACATTTTGCCCCCCCCCCCAACTCATTAAATTTACACCACTTTGTCTTCGCGCCTCTTTTTCTTTTCTTTTTTTCTTTCTTTTTCTTCTTTTTTTTTTTTTTTTTTTTTTTTTGCTTTTCCGGGGGGGGGGGGGGGGGCAAGTGCCCCCCCTTGCCCCCCCTCGCGACGCCCATGCCTATGACTGAATTTTCCCTGTTTTGGGGTATAACTTGCAACATTTTGTATTGCTGATTGTGGTACCTGCTGCTGTATCAGATTCAAACCAGCCAGACAACCCCGGCAAGCTCAGTGGTCCAGTGGTAAGACGTCTGCGCTAGTATGCAACAGGTTGTGGGACCGAGTCCCACGCAAGTACACTTGTGATTTTTTTTTCGCTCGCAAGTTGTCGTAAAGCACTGAGTATAATAGTCAAAAAAATTTTCATGAGAGATGTGTAAAGAAATTGTCAAAAATGGCAGCATTTTGCTCAAATGGAACACACCCCTTGTGCATGGTTATGAGTTGCCTAGTCTGGAACTTTGGCAGCCGAGGGTTAGCTTCATTTGTTGTATGTTGGTTGCAGGAAGCGTGGCTGAGACGTTAGGGCTGCAATCGGATGACGCTTTCTTAGAGGTCGGAGGTCATAGTGTTGCTGGAGTCCGTAGTATCGTCATTATCGATTTACTGAAGTAAGTTGTGTTCAATATCTCATATTCGTCTTTAGTTTGCTCTATATTTGTCTATATTTTCTATTTATAATTTACATAATAATTTGAGTGAGGATTGCGAAGCACTAATGCACGGGCTGTTCCTGCTCCATGAATATGTAATGGTACAACCGCTGAAAATTTCGTACAGCGTGCATTTCTTTTATCTTTGTGCCAGGATTATATTTGCTGAAAATTTAGATTTTCGCGAAAGGCAAAATTTCCCAGCCAACTTCTGATATACAGCCAAACGCCACATATTCTGATTCGCAAGAGTCATGTCAACAGTATTTGTACGATATTTCTTGTCGTAACCTCATACATTTCAATATTCTGGGGTGTGCACTGGAGCGTAAATTGTACAACAATAGGCCGTGCACAACGGCCAATTCAAGATCAACACAAGGTCTGCCTCCGCAGACTTCATGAACTTTGTGCATGTGTACAAAAGGCACGAGGGATTAGCGTGTTTGGACGTCACCCGGAGGCGAATCCAGGCAATCTTGACATCTTAACCCATCAGCCGTGCCTGTGTATAAAAACAGCCAGTGCGTGTTATCACGTCCTCCGACGCAAACTGGTTAATGATAAAATCCAAAGCCATTCTTGGTCTGAGACTAGTTCTCATCAACTAACTACCTTTTGTTTTTCCTTTAGGAAAGCCAACGGCCCCTTGTGCGTGTTATTACAACGTAAGAACACCGTTCCTTTCCTGCGCAGTCCGTTAGTCAAGAAGTCCCTCAACCGACCTACCCAGGTCAAGCCGCAGGTGGCCGTGCAGAGTCCTAAGCCCAAACGGAAGGCAGCCAAGGTCTTGTCTCCTCGCATTGAAGCCTTCCTTAGCAGGCAAGTAGGCTGTTATTATCTGAATGCTTTGGGAAACTTTTTTTTAGTGCTTTTTGTTTTCACGAAGTGATAAAAACTCACCTGGTTAGCAGGTCCAAGGGGTATGCATTTCTCTACAAGCGTTGGGATGGGAGCCACCCCTGAACGATGTGGATAAAGAACAGATGGGCACGCTGTACTGACGCATGACGCATAAATGTAACAATTTCTCACAACGTTTCATGTTTTTACGAAGTGACAGAGAGTGTGTACAAAGTAATGGGAAAAATAATAAAGGCCTCTGCGTATTGCTGTTTTCATAAAGCGTATTAATGAATAAACTGTTTAATTAAGATAGACTTTTAACAAACAACTTTGAATTAGCAAAGAACGAAGCATACGTTACTTGACAATGCCAACATTTCCCAAATCTGTAACTACAAACTAGTCGAAAATATGTTTTGTAAAAAGGATTAACTCTTAATGCGGTTCTCTCGGGATGACCTTTTTCAGGAAATTGAGGTTTTTGTCACTTCGTGAAAACACCATCGACATGCAAATCTACGCATATTGGACTTTTGTGCACGCGCGTCGGACATGATTGGGTAAAGCGTAGGGGGGGGTGGGCTTATGATTGGTCTTTTGGGGGGGGGGGGCCCAGTGCTTAGGGTTTGTTACTGATGATCAGAAGGCTAGAGGTTCGAAAACCAGCTGTTGGCCGTGTGTTGTGTCCTCGGGCAAGCCACTTCGCTTCCACTTGCTTCTCTCCACCGAGGAGTATAGGGTACCAGCGTTAGCTGGGGAGTAACCTTCGATGGACTGGCATCCCATCCGGGAGGATTAGAGATATTCTCCGTTGTTTTGTGACCAAAGAAACGGGAGAGCAACCCCAGCCTGATTAGCTGTATTGGCCTGGGATTGATGTGACTTTGCATTTGGTGAATGAAGTTATTTATTGGTCGGAGTTCTCTGTTGATAGGGAGACGTGAAGGTTAATATTGGGTTTATATTTACTGGTTCCAATTCACCTCTAATGACCTCCTTTTCAGTTCCTTTGTTCCTCTGAAATTGGATTGATTTTCAATTTAACTGTTGCTAGGGTAGTGTGTTATTTCTTTGCAAGTCTTGGTGTTGGTGACAGAGCTTGACAGAGCTCAGCGAATAGACCTGAAAATGTATTTTTCAGATCTTATACATCCATCATCTGCGAATGGGCAAGGAGATTACAGACTAGGAGTTTTGGACCATTTCTCTGAATCATTATTTAGATGTCGTGGTTAATTGGCTCTGTCAGGGACACTATACTTCCTTTCATAACACTGGAATTGTCCATGTACATTGTACGGGAGCAAATGAAGACTGGTGTAGTGAAGGCTGGTTGGTTCACACTTGGCGCAAAAGTAAAAACCGAATGTGAGTAGTGACATCATGGCAAGCAATCATGCGAAAAATTTGTACAAGTAGAACACTTTTTTAGCCACTTTCCTTTATAGTGACATCAAATTCACTTGGCCTTTGCCTGAATTATGAACAGCTTGCATAGGTTAGCTCTGATGTTATTTTCTCTCGTTGCCTTGCCATTCGCAGGTCCAAACCGATTGTCGACAGGAGACTCCAGAGGGAGCTGTTCGCCAAGGTAGCCTTGCGCAATGCCCGGCAGAACCAGCACAAATGCCTGCAGACAAGCAGTAGTTGCAGCTCCACCTACTCCAGCGCATCCACAGCGACCTTGGAATCCCGAAGGTAAGACTGGAAATGTTCGAAGAATGAACCGCCCTACCAACCTTTAAATCAATAATACTTATAATAACATTAATGTAGTGCTTACATGTGGGAATAAACGTGCACTTGGCCGGTTTTAAACACTATGTTTAAGACTGGTTTGGAGTCTGGACGCTGATAATGACCCTTCTGCTTGGGTCAAAAAATATAAATTTCCAACAGTTTTGTTCAACAAGTTTACCAAGTGGTTTTTTAAACACCCATCTAGCTTTGTTATGGTGTGTGCCTCTCGCGAGTAGTCGTAAATAACTCCTTATATGGAGATTGGTGTGGGCGTTGCACGTACTGCGCAATGTGGCGTTGCACGTACTGCGCAATGTGGCGTAGAACGCAGCTGTGCCTTTGAAGTGTGAATTTAGGACTATGAAATACTGACTCACTGGTAGTATTGCTCATGCCTTAGTGAAGACTGTGAATGTTCAACCAATAAAAGGGTAAAAGGGTCCAAATTTCATAGGAGTCCAAATTTCATGTGACGCTGGAAAAGTGTATAAGACCAGCCAGCCGTTGTTATCAACCATTTAAGACTGGCCAGGTGACGGGCTTTCGACCAATAGGAATGGGTATTTTTTTAAGGTATTTATGAATAGTGCTTTATAGTAAAGTCTCAAAGTGCTACACACTTATTACTCCTGTTCATCAGGCCATGAGTCCAGGTTTCTGCATTAGCACAATCTGGTCCGTATCTTCACATGTACCCATTTATACTGGGTTGAGAGAGGCAAATGTAGTAAAGTGTCCTGCCCAGGAACACAAGCACCATGTTCCCAGTCATGGTTCAAACCCATACATGTATCATTACACCTACTGGGTAAGTCGGACGACATTATCTCTGAAGCATGACGCTCCTTTGGTACATATATCTCAGTGCTTGCGGGCTGGGTTTGACTGATTTACTGTGGTCATCTGAGTAAAAAATTGGGATCTTCGTGTACGGTGTGAAGTAGGTGTGACTTATTATATTCTGAATGTGCGACAAATGTAGCGTCTTCATGTCTTCGGCAATTGTCCCTCCCAGTGGTCTCCCTCAACTCTTGAGGGGGTACTTGTGCACGGAATCCATATTGTCCATGTTCAGGGTATCAAAAAAACGACACCCAAAAAGGAAATCTTAATCATTATTTTCATCATTTGTTAGGGGCTCTGGCATAAGAAAGCACGACAGTCTAAAACGCCACAGTCTGGACTGGCGACGTCTCAACCGTTGCTGTCGAGACAGGCCCGCCTCGGACCTGACGAACGACACCTCACAGCGGGCGTCCGCAGTCGATTCAGACATCGGAATCATGACGATTCACGACGATGACGATACGACTGGGGATCGCAACAGCACCTCATCGTGGGAATCGGACGTGATGGCGACTATCCCCGTTGATGACTTGAGCATCCTGGAGAGTGTCCTGGATAAGCCTCAAGACAGCCAAGAACCAGACGACACCCTTCTAATCGACTTGAATTTCCCTCCAACATTTCCACCTGCTGATCACGACATCCTAGGAGCATCAACAGCATCAGCAGCAGCATCGTCAGCAGCAGCAGCAGCAGCAACATCAAAGGAAGAGAACAAGAGAAAGAGGAAACACAGGTTCTTTACAAGAGAAAGCAGAGCTGGCAACTCGAGGAAACATTCGGGACGATCTGGAAGAAGCGGATTGGCCATGGAAATCCCGCTCCACAACGACAAGCAGCATATCGTCTGGTCCAGAAGAGTAACGGTAAGGAAATAATAGGATTTGTAGCAGAGTTTGTAGTCAAGTCATCACAAGCCATCACAAGTCAATCACTGTTCAAACACAAGTTGATCACAAGTCAAATCACAAGTAATCACAAAAAATCACAAGTCGTCAGAAGCCATTGTCATCACAAGTCAATCACTGTTCAAACACAAGTCGATCACAAGTCAAATCACAAGTAATCACAAAAAATCACAAGTCGTCAGAAGCCATCGTCATCACAAGTCAATCACTGTTCAAACACAAGTCAGTTAACAAGTAATCACAAAAAATCACAAATCGTCGGAAGCCATCATAAGTCTAACTGTTCAGTCACAGGTTATCGCTATTCGATCACAAAATAATCATAAGTCAATCACAAGTCCAGTGTTAGGTCATTACAAGTTAATCACTATTCGTTCATTTTTGGTCACAAGTCGTCAGAAGTCAATCACAAATCAATAACAAGGAGATCACAAGTCAAATCACAAGTCATCACTAGCTTCACAAGTCAATCGCTACTCAATCACAAGTTGATCGCTATTCAATCACAAGCCAATCGTGAAAAAAATGATGCACTTAAAATTGTACTTTTTCCCCCAATTTATTCATCGAAATCAACATTTTGTGAATGAACCCTGAATGATGAAACTTTATGTAATAAAGATGTCATTCATGACAAAAATGAAAATCACATTTTGATGAAATTAATACCCATTTTTGTGGAGCGGGTCACAAATTACGTCTCTCAGTAGTTCTTCAAAAGGTATCTTTTTTTTCTCTTTTATTATCTGCAGCCCATTCCTCTAGGACCACCTTGGAGGCAGCTCGTGCATAAAGGCCGAGTCTTTGTCCAGAGCAAGACTAAGAAATTGAGAGAGGTACGGTAGAGTCATTTTAACAAATTTTGTTCTCTCTTGTACGTAGTTTCACTAATCTACGACAGGCTTTGTAGCTGGCAAGCCTGCAAAAAACCTAAAGAGAGAAAACGGGGATTTTTTTTCGCTTTTACATGTATTAAAGGGAATATACATCATTTGCTTTTGCTGTAATTTTCAGAAATGGAGGGAATTGGGGGGTTGGAAATATAAAGCAAATATAGTTACACTGACTTTTTGGAGGTTTTGGGTTCGAAAATGCTATAAAAACCAAGAAAAACGATCATTTTCCTGTAGTCTGGTTCCCTGACTCCATATAAGAAGAAATTGAGCAGTTTACATACATTGGGGAATTGTAAGGTCAGGGAACCAGTCTAGCTGGCTCGTACCCGTTCATAGGTTTGTAATCGATTGCAAACAAGCGCAATGGTCAATTGGGGCCAGTATTTGAAAAAAAAGCCAGTTGTTTCCAACGCTGATCGGCCGATCAGCGTTGGAAATTGATACAAAAATACCACTTTTCTTGAAAATGACAGTATACCAGGTGCCATAATTTTACAGGATGCTTTAGACTGTCATTTACCAACATCCTATTAAGGTATTTCGCAAAAACTTGGTAGTTTTATTTTTCGATGTTTGCAAATGGTGTATATTCCCTTTAAGTGAATGAAAAACCTCGGAAAGAAATACTTGTGTTTGTGGGCAAGACACTTTACCACAATTGCCTCTCTCCACCCAGGAGGTATAAATGGGTACCTGTGAAGGTAGGGACCAGATTGCGCTGATCTCGAGCTGCTGCAAAAAAATGGTCTCATGGCCTGATCAACAGGGGTAATAATTGTGAAGCGCTTTGAAACTTTGGTACTATAAAGCGCTATTAACAGCACCACATTAATATTATCATGTTGTTATTTCTGTTTGGTGAATTATGCTATTTTTCTTTGTCTTAGATGCTGCTGCTCCTGTACACTGATGTACTCCTGTTCACAAAGCCCCTGGACGAAATGCACATCAAAGTTGTCTGCTGCCCTCTAGTGATAAACGAAATCAGCGTTCTGGACTTCAACTGCCAAGTGGGTGAGTGTTATCAGGTTACGTTAGAAAGAACAATAAATAAATGCTCACAAACGAGATACTCCTGGGTGGAGAGAGGCAAGCATAGTAAAGCGCCTTGCCCAAGGACACAAACACAGTGTTAAGGTTTGCACCCACATGCCTTGGCATGTGAGTCTTACATGGCATGTGAGTCATAGGCCAAAAAAAATAAATATTCGGTCTCTGGTCAAGCTTGGATTTTACAGACAAGGCGGGGTACTATTTCGCTTTTTTTGGCGTCCTCATGTACATTGGTGTCCTCCATAATTTGCCTTGGAGCCCTCGATCATTTGCCTTGGTGCGATTTCCCATTCCTTGGTGCTCCTTAGTACAAAAATTTGAGGAGGTGCAGCAATAGAGGGCGCTGTTGGAGCTACCGCGAACAATTTTGGAAAAAAAAAAAGATTGACGTGCATGATTAAGCTAGATCGTCGCACGCGCTGACCAGAGACCGACTTTTTTTTTGGCCTTACCATTATACTACAGTGCTCCATAGACACACTCCGTAAGTAAGCTAATAAGCAGTTGCAATAATTAACAATGATTTAAATTTTCTTTTTAAACTTCAGCTCGAGAGTTCCACATCACGTTAGTCACCGACACGCAACCTTATCCTCTTGCCAGCCACGGGGGGACCATCTGCCTCCGAGCACCCACGACCAAACTCAAGTCGGCCTGGCACCGACTTCTCCAGCAGAGGATCATGGCCGTCAAGTGCACAGGTCAAGATGCGGTAAGTTGGATTTCCCTGTTTTCTTGTTAAGCTAGTGATTGATTGCCATTTATGGAATATAAATAGATACCTTAGAGAGTTGATAGCTTCTGATTGGTCGAGACTCGATCACGGGGTGTATTGACATGTGATGTAAAGACCGGCTTCAAGAACAAGCGAATAAATGGCCCCTGAACCAGCGTTGATCCAGCATCATGTAAGCCAATGATTGGCCAGATATACAACAGGCCTGCGGTACCTTGTAACAATACAGCCAACCACCATCGTGTGAAGACTTACGCGTGCGTATATGCTGGGAGTGCATACGCGTGCATAAAAGTCCTCACATTGACGCGACATGTTCGTACTGATGATGTTTACGACGAAAGAGACCAGCGATTTTAATTTCTGTAAACACGCCGCCCACGGACATATTCTTCTTCTAAACTGAGCATCTTTGTAATTCTGGACATGAGGAACATGTGAACGAAATTTCAGCTTCCTCCATCAGGTAAAAATATGAAAATATTTGATGTAGTTTTATTTTTCATTATGTATGTATGATGATGATAACAACGCATTTAAGCTAAAATATGGCCCCTGAACTTAAACACAAACAGTCTGGAAATATCGCCAAAAGAAAGGTCACAAATTCGGAGCATTTTAACTGTTTATTTCGTTAAAAAGGTATTTATGAATGAGAATAACAGTGTGAGGTCCTGGTCTTCACTGTGTGATAATGACTGGGTTGGTGGAAGGTCGCTGTTAATGGACCTTGCCTTCGGCTCGGCATCCGCTGTTATTCCCTAAATAGATACGTCCTGCATGTCTGTAGTCTTTACTTCCAGGGATCAGGATCAGCTGCATTAGGCGAACAAAATTAAAACGTAGCCTTAGGGCAAGACAAACAAACAAATACCCCAACAAACAAACAAACAAACAAGCTCGATCGGATCTCGGAAGATGCTGGCCAACGAATTTGTGTTCATGCATGAGTCAGGTGATTGTTCCATGTAATTTCTGGAAGGGGTAGTTTTTTAGTTAAAAAAATCAGGTTGTTGACCCGAGTGACCCCATAATGACCTTTGACCCATTTTGGTCATGTGACATGCGTGGGCTTGGCTACTGATACTTTTGACAAAGTTTGGTTGAAATCGGTCAAAATATGTAGGAGCAATACAATGTCAACGTTTGTTACTAACTAACTAACGGACTTACGATAACGGATACATGATGATTTGTTGAGCTGCTATCCCGCAGCTAATAACAACCAAAACCAAAAGACACTACCCCAAAACAGGATGTCCATTTATACCGGTACCAATTTCTCGGTACATCTTGTCGTTTTCAGTGATGTTTTCCCCCGAAACCTGTAGAGAATTTAATTATTCCCATTCTTGGAAATCGTCCTTGTAGAAATGTCGAGGGAATTTAAGAACCGGCTCGTGAAAGCTTGTTATCTAGACGGTTAACAGATGCAATAAAGAAGGACTCCTTTTTCTAAAAACAAAAAACAAAAAAAAAGCCCAAAGCAAGATGTGCAATGACCTTTTTCAAGAGACAGTTTGGGATCAAGTCAAGACTTTTCCCCCCACATTCCCGTCCCCCGGCAGTCCTTAATTTGTCATTTGTAATTAAATAATCCCTTTCGGGAGGAAATTGTTCCAATTACACGTTTCCTCTGCCTCCGATGTCCTGTGTGTTATCAAAGCATACCTTTTGTCTTCCAGGAAATTGAATTCATTAAAAAAAAATGGGCACTCTTACAAGTTCAGAGGCCCCGTCGGTGTTTTTGGACGGGGTTGTTTGTTTTGAGGGTAGGTCTTGTTCTGTCTTCAGGGTGGTATTGGAAATATAAGCAGCGATGTTTTTTGGAGATTTTATTAATTGAGGAAAATTGGGGGCAGGTTGTTGTTTAGCAAAACAGAACGTGCTTTTGCGTATTTGTTGAGCGAAATTCTTTTAATTGAAAAGTGCACATTGGGAATGATAACTACATGTAGATCTCCAACGGCTCGATTTTTGAGGACCAAAATATTGTACCTGGATTTCTTAGCGTTGATTACATGAAAACAGCGAATTTCTAAGTAGCATATGTGTAGATGTTCCTATTTTACTTTGGAATGATACTAAATTCCAACTCAATACATTTTTGAGCCCAAAAGGGCTCATTCTCTCAAAACATGCTCAGGTCTGTAATTGCCAGTTTAATTTCGTAACAATATTTTAGTTTCATTCATCTCGGGTTAAAAAAAAAAAAAATTACACTAAGAAGAAAAGCTACAAATTGTCCTACCTTCTTCCACTCTTATCCAAAATACATTGAGATATAAAACAAGAAGAAACTAACAATCAAACCAAAACTCTATTGGCATAAAATCTCAACCTTTCTCTACCTTTATTATGTAAAGGTTCATTTTTTTGATAATCACAGTGTTCCTATGTACCTTTAATATTTCATACAACGCCCACTCGTATTCTATCAATCATTCTTATGACCTAACCTCTCCGCCTATATGTTCAATGGCATGAATGGGGGAAGGGGGAGGGGTGTCATCCCCGGTTGATGGCAAAAAGGTTTTGCTGTGTAAACCCAAGGCCATTTCTGATAGTTCCGGAGCCGTTACTTGATCAAACACTGCACACTTATAGGCCTAATTGGAGTTAATTGAATAGCAGTTGGGTAGAACCCTAATGAGGCATCATTTTAATGCCATATTGACAGTATGCGGAGTTATGTGGTGCGCACTGCATAAGTGCACTGTAGATATTATATAACTGATATACAGATCCTTGTCTTTTGATTGGTTGAACTCGCATCACGTGGCATTCGTTATTCACGCTGGGGCTCAAAAAGTCCCAGCAGTCAGGTCATATGTCAAGCAAGTACCTTGTCTAGTCCAACTGGGTCAACAGACATAGCAGGCAAATTATGGTCACAACTGTTTATCACTCACTTGGAGTCAAAACATAGCTGTATCAAGTTACTTATAAAAGCAGTCCAAGGCAGTCAATCCTGCTTTATGTGGGCTGGGAATTCTGAAGGTTTGAAAACAGTCACTTGATTGATTTTGACTGCAAGGACCACTTGGCTCAGAATGTATGTTTGCATAGGAGGGTTAATTAAAGAAAAAGATTGCTTCCCAGTTGGGCATGTGTTGTGGGATAGATATTTTGTCAGAAATACCGAGTTGCGAGAAATTTTGAGTGTCCTCCAAGGTTCGTTCCCTTCATAACGTCTGTTGTAAAAATTGTATGTGATCCCTTGCATCTCATAAACAAGAATACCAGTATATAAGGATGCACTTTCAAGTGCATTCATGTATGAAATTGTAAGGCTTTTTCTAAGAACACATGTAATCCTACCGAGAGGAATTAGCGTTAATGATTGAAAGGAAACTAAGAAAATGCAGATATTCTTGCATCCTTAGTTGTGCAGATTTCATCTTCGAGATAAGGACAGAGTAGGCATCAGGTGTTTTCTTCGTCCACGGAATTAATTATTTTTTTCCTCAAGTTCCTTGAGACTTTGAAGGAGATGAATCTTTTTATAACTCGTCGTTTTCATGGAAATTGGAAGGTGGGCAATTCCACGGTAATTTTCGATACATTTTTAGGCACTTTGACATGCACAAAAGAGACTCACAACTTAATGCATTGGTTTCAACTGTCAGACTTTTTTTATTTGCACACTGTAGCAAATTCTATACAAATACAAACTGGATAACTTGCGATAGCTTAGTAGTTAAATAGCCCCCCAAAAATGTGTTTTAATAAAATCATTTCAAGACATTAATCACTGAACTGAAGATATTCGTCACTTTGTCAAAATGCAAATTGTACTTCGTCACAAAAATTTATCGTATGTTTGCACACAGCGCGCGCGTATACATTTTAGAATGCAAATTCGTCAAATCGTCAAAACACAAATCGTGGAGGCTACGTATAGCACACATGTAAAATGAATGAGACTAAAGTGACAAATAGAGATTCGTCACTTTGTCAAAATGAAAAACTGAGTGTGTAGCACTTACATTACTTTATGTTATTAGTGTAATTAACGAACTATGTAACTTTGTGTCTCAAAATTTGGTCATCATTTTTGTGGACATCATAAAATGTTAGAATATTCAAAAATCTCAGATTGCTTAAAATCTCGGTTTCGGACAGCTTTGTACTTCGTCAAAACAGTGATGATATTGAAATACAGTTTATTTCTGACACGGTTCAACAGTACCGCTGTCACTTGCAAGTGAAAAATTAATTAATGAGTACACAAACAACAATCAACGCTGTCTTGATTCGATCTAATTAACGCAATTAAGCCCGTAGTCAGTGATGTCATAACATGTACCGGGTACACACTTGTCTTGATAGATGTCTTTTCTCAACATCCGCTCATGTTATATCTGTCAGATCTTATCGTCCGAATCTGAACAGCAACCCGAAATCTGTTGCTATCACTCAGCCGTCCTCCCCATGTGAATTCCCAGTCGGTTCAAGATGCATGTCGTACTACACCCCACTGTTTCCCCGCAAGAAAGCTGTTCTCCTGTTCATGCTTGAGTGCTGTTTTACTTCTTCCATCGCAAAATGGCATCATGACATAAGGCAATTATCCCCTCGTAGCCAACTTCGTGTGTTAACAGTGGGAGCTGTTTTTACTGTCTCCTCAACCCTGCTGGGTCGGATGCAACTGTCCGTCTAACATTTGGTCTAAAGAGCATGTGACGATGCCATCCCATCTTCAAGAAGTTGGTCTAGTGACATCGAGACCTCTTGTGAAGAGGCGAATTATGGATTTTGGTTTTGCTAAAGTGTATCTCGATTGCGTCAAGTTTAACGGCAAAGGAGAACGTCTGTTAAAAACAAAAAGCTGAAATTCAAGCCAGAATTGGGGATTTTGGTGCTGGTAAACTGAGTTCCGATTATACATCAAGTTCAGAGGCAAAGGAGGAACGCCGCATGCAAAGCTGGAATTCAAAATGTATCTCTCTCACACGCGCGGCCTGCAGAGTGTTAAGACATCAGCTGTCTTTGCAAGGCTGGTTTTCATCATTTTCAGTTGATCTCAAATGTTCTTTGACTGAGTTCTGTGCCCTGTACAGAGTGCATCATCTAGAGTAACCTTCGTCACTGCTTGGTTTACTAAATACTTGGACACTAAACACAGCATCTTGCATTGAAAATGCTCTGGAACTTCTCTGCAAAGATTCTGCAAATCTGTGGAGATCAAAGCCTTCTGACAAGTGGATTTGTCACAAGTTTGTTGCAAATTTGGTCTTGGAGTTGAGAATATTCTTTTGATCCGAGCAGTAGGAGCATCTGTGAGGATCTGTTGATGAAAACAGAAGGAGCATTTGTGAGGATCTGCATTTTTTCCCCAAGGAGGTCGAGCTGTTTGGATAATTCTGGTCCATTGCAAATTGTTTGGACTTTGACAGAATACCACAAAGTTAA